TATTTATTTCGTATCAAAAGCATTGCATAAATTAATATAAAACCGATAAAAAAAGAAGGAGCGCAGTTGGCTAAATATCTTTTGACCAAAAACGGGCAACAGCAATGGCATGGTCTGTAGCCTCCAACAATTCTTCCTCTGTACATGAGGCAGGGCATAGTGGACAAGCATACAGATGCGGAGTTGTCTGTTCTGCTCCACAGTCACATAAGGTGTGGAATTCTTTTAGGTAGTGCCATTTTGCCAGGTTGTCTTTTGATCTGCCCACTCCACTTCTGAGTCTGTTCAGGGACTTCCAAGTTGCCCATTCTTGGTTTGTCCCTGTGGGGGACCATCCAGTTGGGATTTCCTGGTTTAGCTTCCCAGAGGGATACCCTTTCTGTTGCTGGGGGGATGCCAAGGGGAGTGATAGTTCTCATAAAGCTTTCCCTAGATTTGAGTCTACTGGGAGAAGGCTGGAAGCCATGTAGTGGGTGGCTTTCACAGTGTTCAACCTTATTTCTCTCACATTTATCAGCAACTTCCCATCGCTACATCGGGGGGAGGGAGGGCAATGCCAGCTAGCTTGTAGAGTTTATCAACAAACGTAGGTTTAAGACATCCTGTGATTATTCTGCATGTTTCATTCAATGCTATATTCACCTGCTTTGCATGGGCAAACCTATGCCAAACAGGGCAGACATAGTCAGCAGTTGAGTAAGGCAAGGCTAGGGCTGATGTTCTTACTAATTTTGGGTCTGCACCCCATGTGCTGCCAGTAAGTTTCCGCAGGATGTTACTGTGTGCAGCTACTTTGTGCTTGGTGTTCAAGCAGTGTTTCCTATATGCTAGTGTTCGATCTTAGGTGACATCGAGATACAAGGTGCAGCAGCATAACTTCCTTTTTTCAAAACTTAATAAAACCCATTGTATGAATCAGATTTTTTTATAATGTAGGTTCATACCTAAAGTTTTGTATTACATAGTTTTGAAGATCAAATTAGGTAGGTGACGTACCCCATTCTCCATACACTGAGTAAACCGATTTCTGGAATTTGTCATGACTCTTGTATGGGTTTTTTTGAAATCCCATGTTTATATGAACCATCCAAGAACCCTACAAGATTTGAAGACCAACATCCAAGAAGAAATTGCCAACATAACGCCTGCTATGCTGGCAAGAGTCATGATAAACACCAGAAATCGGTTTACTCAGTGTATGGAGAATGGGGGACATCATCTACCTAATTTGATCTTCAAAGCTACGTAAAACAAAACTTTAGGTGTGCGTCTACATTATAAAAAAAAATTCTGATTCATACAATGGGTTTTATTAAGTTTTGAAAAGAGGAAGTTATGCTGCTGCACCCTGTATTTAGGATGGAAACAGTGTTCAAGTTCTTGACCTTCCCAGGTGACTTTCAATTTCCTGTTGGTTTCATGGTTGCGTAGGTGGAAAGCACATACTTGTGTCTTGGCAGGGCCAGCTGGTTATTTTTGTAGTAGCTGGAGAGATCTTTCAAGGCATTAGTAAGTTGGATTTCAACTGTTTCAAAGTCTTTTGCTTGTGTTGTTAGGCCAAGGTCATCAGCATATATAAAGCTCCTTGTGAGTGGTGGTTGTGGCTGATCGTTAGTAAAGATATTAAACAAGGTTGGTGCAAGAACGCTGCCTTGGGGTAAACCATTCTTTTGCCTCCTCCATCTACTTTTCCTGCCTTGAAACCACAGAGAAGATCCGTTCTATGTTCTCTGTTAACCAAGTTAGGTTCTGCCTTTGCATCAACAAGAATCGCTTCTTTCTCTTAAAATATCTATAGACTGGAAAAACATTTTTTTATCTAGTCTTTCAACTTTGTCCGCATAAATTATACATATGGTTTGCTATCTATTAAAGAATAGCACAGTTGGTGTATAATTTGCAAGTTTTGTTTTATCTCCTTTCTTAGGACTCATCTACAGTGGGCAGTTAATCTGATGTTAATATGTCCCGGAGAAGCTCTACTTCTAACGCATTCATGCTGAATCTGGGGCTATTGTTTATACATCCAGGAACACATCTGCTCTGATGTGATGGCTAGCATCTCACTGCCTCTGTTGCCATTAGGAGGAAGGAAAGGAGATCTCCATTAGACATCCTTAGGGCAATGTCTGGTCTTCTGGAACTCTCTGTGTAAAAGGTAGTGTGAAAGGGCCCCAAGAGACAAAGCAATCTGAAGTCTCTCCACATTATTGTTCCTTTCCGCCTCTGCTAGTTCTAGGGAGGCTAAATTTGAGCCCTGGCTGTGTAGTCGGTTTCAGTTATCTCATAACTATTGGAAAAGGCATTCATAACATTTTGGGAAACCAGATATCTCCATAGCCTTAATTGGCATTCACACTATCTGGAACAATCACAACACTTTTGTAAAGTATGATCTTCCAGAGAAGAGCCAAAAACCCGTTCTAGTAAAATCTTCTCTTCGGTGGTATATAGCCACATGTACTTATGCAAGGAAATTTGGCTTATACTGATAACCTAGTTGTCTCTGATCTGTTAGGAACAGAGATTATGCCAATGCACAAAACCAGCAGTTTCTGAAGTGTTCTTTTCAGTGCCCCAAAACATCTACTCTCCCATAAAATATATTGCTTTTAAATCAGGCTCTCAAGAGACCAAAAATAAGTAGTCTTTATTAAAAATAACATAGTTGGTTTACTTACAAACTTCATACATTCAGCATACATGAAGTTTGTAAGTAAACCAAGTATGTTATTTTATTCCGCATACAGGTACATTGCTTACTAATCTAGTTACAGATAGTTTCTCTGTGCAGATAACACTGGGCATCTTTCTTAGAATCAACAGTCCAAAGTCTAAAGCAGTGGTTCTCAACCTGGAGTCCCCAGATGTTTTTGGCCTGCAACTCCCAGATATCCCAGCCAGTTTACCAGTTTACCGCATTGAGTCGCCTGTTTTGGGCTGAAAAATGCGGTATAGAAATAAAGCAAATAAATAAATAAATACCAGCTGTTAGGATTTCTGAGAGTTGAAGGCCAAAAACATCTGGGGACCCCAGGTTGAGAACCACGGGTCTAAAGCATCTCTCTGCATTCTGACAGTCTAATGGAGTCTGAGATGTGAATAGTCCCAGATCTGGTCACATGGCCAGTAGTCCCTCCCACAACACAGATTTAAAGAAAACTGCATACCAATACACACATATACAGTACAACAAGCAATCCAAATTATATATGTAACAAATAACTAGTATAGGAGGCTTGTAGAAGGTTGCTGTTTCCAACAATAATTCTGTTTTAGAGCACTTGCCTATTTAGTTCACACCAGGTTGGCAGCAATGTAGGCAATTCGTTACGGATATGTTCCCCAGGTCTGTGTTCTTTTAACTGGGAATCGTGGTGATAAAAGTATGCATCTTTGGTTACAGAGTCTGCAAATTTGAGTTCTAATGACATAACTGTGTATCAGTATCCCATTTGAAATAAAGTATTCAGCCTGTCTGCTTGTTTAAACAATAACATTTTAGTACACATGTGGTCTAGCCATTATATGCGTAATACAGTGCCCCATCCCACATGCTGTTGCTGATGTTGTTGGCATCAGAGATAATCTTTTGTGTTATCATATCTATATGTATGGCTCTTGGGCATCCTGCATTAAACACAAAAGCATGCTTGCTCATAAATAAAATTACTGGAACCCTTTTGGGGAAGGAATACACAGCAAGATTCATGACATAGCCTTGCAAAACAAATGCTGCAATTATACTGTGCCTCAAAACAAGTAGCTTTTAATGTGTCCATATGCTTAAGAAAAGAATTATAAGCCAATGCTTGCTCCCACCCCCTCCACTTCTCTGTCTTTCCCCCTCCTTTTTCTCCTTTATACAGTTTATCACCCATAATTTCAGGATGTGTTTTGTTTCTTTAAGCTGTTTTATCTCTCAGCTCATGAGGTCACTCATGTGTGAATTCTTTTGTTCGTCATCTCACCTTTTGCCTTGATGATAGAAAATTGATCGGGCCTTAAAGCACAAGTTCAATAGACAACCCCCTTGGTCCTTTGTCTAGGAGAATAGCTACCACTGAAGACCATGAGCAGGTTGCTATTAATATGACAGCCTCTCTCTATCTCCCACTGTAATTTATAATGAAATACCTAATCTCCATTATTTTGATCCAAGCAGGCGATCCCATGAAAAAAAGTCTTTTCATCCAGTTCCCAATGGCAGTTACATGAGAAATGGCAAACCAATAATTTTTGTCAAGTTTTTTAAGCCAACAGAAATGCTTTTCCACTGCTACAGTTTCAAAAGGCACAGATAAAGCTCATTCACTGAGATGAATGAAAAAAGCCATCTGGGGTTTTTCTTTTTGACTTCCTTTCCTTTTTCCTCCATCCTTGTAATCAAATTTGAGCAAAATCAAATGGGGCTTTCTATGAAAGTACCTTTTGTTGATCTGAACGAGCTGGTAATTTACAAAATACCCTTCTTTTGTGAGGAAGGCTAAAGAAGAAGGAGAAAAAAAGAATCAGTAGCTTTTAAAGCTGGGCCTTGGTGGGACTCTAAATGCAGTGAAAGCTGTCTGTGTTGAGAGACTGAAATGCATTTCAAAGGCAGGCCTTAGCCAGGCACAGGAAGAACAAACCTATATGCATTTTGTGGGAAGAAAATAATATGAATGGAATGACAGGAAAGAAAACCAGATGAGAGAGAGCGAGAGAGAGAAATCTGTATCTGGATAATGCATTAAAATATTTTTGAGTTTCAGCTCTATTCTTTAACATGCAAGACTGTCTGACCTCACAATTTTGGACTTCCATGGCTCAACATTTTCAGTACCTATAACTGGAGAGAGCTGGTGCATCCCTTGGTTGTCGTGGGATTATATCAAAAGCCATCTATATATTTATTTGCCTCTCTTAAGAAATGTGTAGAAGAAAAATCATCATTTTGAACGAATACTGGACTTTACATCCAATTGTATTTGCTAATGTTTCACTTTTTTTTAATTAAACAGCTTATTCTTTGGCAACTTACCTTCTTTGGCAATCAAAGAACAGCCTGGACATCATTACAGTAAGTTTGTGCACTGCTTTTCATATGAATATTTTGTGCTAAGACCTAGTGAGAAACTGTTGGACCAGGAAGCTTTAGGTGCACTGCAGTATTAGGATGCTTTATTTATTCTGTACATCAATTTGATATTTGAATTGTACATTAATGCAATATTATTAATTATGCTGGTAGAAAAACATGACAACCATGGTTGTTACACTTTGGGTGGAAAATTATCTTTCTAAATATTGAAGTTCAAAATAATGTTGATTTAGCTCGTGGTCTTAATTATTGCTAATGTCATAAACACTTTTTTTCATAACAAAGCACTTAATAATAGCATGTTTATTGTTGCAAAAACCTCTTAGGTACTGTGATTCCTTAAAACTTTGGATATGTGTTTAATATTTAGGATTGATTTCTTTCATTTTACATTCTCAGAAAAGGACAAGATCAAATTTCTTAGGCATTTAAAAACCTTACTTTTATTTGCATTTATATATATAATGTGGATAGATTTGAAATAGCTATTACAGATAAAACATAATGCTTTGCTTTATGTTTTATTTTATTTATGCTTTATTTTATGGCACAGTAGCTTCTTGCCTTAGTTCCTGTGAGAAAGGAAAAATGCTTTACCTAAAGTTGATATAATACTGAAAGAAGGGTTAGTGTTGAATTCCATGCCAGAGGGATTTGTTTATGTAAATCTTGGTGATGCTTGCATCTAAATAAAATATTTCTTTTGGTGAATGTGTTGAAGTCTTTCATAGCTATATGTTTTTTAACATTGTAGCTGAACCATGTAGCCTTATGTCAGATGTTAATAATAGCAGTATCAATTTACCAAGGTTTTCTTAACTATCTGCTTCTTTAATCTCAGATCCAATAAAATACCCAAGCAAGGCAGTTTCATTCCTAAAATGTACTAAGCTGTCTGCTGCCTCCTAATGTCTGACTTTCCAAACAGCAAAGATGGCAAATTTTTTAGAGACTACTTTCCAAATGCATCTAGGGAATCTGGTATCTATGTCTTTTACTGGCTTTAATTTTGCTCCAAATTTGTGAAGAAACATAGAAAAAGCACCTTAAAAGTTCAATTTCAGATGTTAATGCTTGGTGGAAAATTGAATAACTCTTGTAATTGGCTGCAATTAATTTAGTCTTATATTGTTGTATGACTAAGGCTGGTAAGGTAAACAAATGCAGAATTAGATTGCAGGCTAGTACTAGCACGTGCTCATGTAAAGATTCTCTCTAACAGTGGTGAAAAAGGAGCATTTCAATAGGAGCAGTTTATTATACAAGGGTTAGAAAAAACTGCATCTTCTAAACTTCCCCTTTTGATACAGCTCTTAAATGCAGAGGAGCTGCACTGCATATGTTCATCCTGTTCCAGAATACCAGGACAAAGAGAAACAGATGGGAATATGTAGATATCCAGTCACTGTTTCAAGTTATGAGTTTGTAGGAGACACAATACAATCAGGGCCAAAGATCTGGTAACAGGCAGTTGAAAGAGAATGTCAAGAAAACTATGAAATGAAAACAAGTAATTTTCATTTTAGTATCATACTATATTATTTCCCACAAGCAATTGTGGGAAATAAATGTTGTGAATCAATAGGGTCACAGCAACATGCAGTAAAGTTATTATGGGCTACAGATATGGCCAGAATTTGATCAACTTTGCCCTTTTCATTTTTCCAGACATTTCTGGGAACTATCAGGGACGAATGAGTTCAGAGTAGCCAAATTAACTCTCAGCTGTGCCACAGTTACTGGTCAGCATGGTATCTGTGGGCTGTATTTCATAGGAAGAAACTGGCCAACCACATCTGAGTTTTCCTTGGCCAGCATAACCCTATTAAATTCATGAGGTCAACAAAGGGACAGCTAGTCCATACTGAAGGAAATATCAGAATTTGCTTATTACTACTACTCTGTGTATGTGTTTATATGCCAAACGTTTTGAAATTGTATGGTCTTTATTTCTTAAACTTGCTCTGGCAGTTCTAATTTTCCAATTTTGTTGCCAAGGACTGCTAGAGTCTGTTATAAGTCTGGCTTTTTAAGTTTTGTATTAATATATTTTATTTGTCTTTATAAGTTGTACATCACCTCTGGTGGGCTAAGAAGTGATAAATGATTTTTTTAATCTAAATATTAACATATCCAGGAATAGTTGGGATCTCTATCAGCATGTCCTATAACTAGACCTTAATTGCACATAGATTAAAACTTTGGGTGACTATGATGAAAACTTATCTAAAATCAGCTGGCATTTATTAGTAGCATGGTACAAAAAGATTATTTGTTATCAGTTTGTTAAATAAATAAATAAATTGATATACTGCTCACAACAAACTTTCCAAGCTGTCTACAAAAAGCGACATGTGTAGTAACAGCATATATAATTTTTTTTTAAATACAGTATGATACTATATACAACAATTAACAAGAATGAGGAAGAAATTGAGGGAAGGGGTATGTGTGTAAAAAGTCCTGCAAATGAAAAGTGCTTTTAATTTTAAAAAACCACTTGGCGTCTGAAAACTGCCAAGGAGGCGGCAAATTGACCTTTTGGGGAATTAGGCTCAATACTAGGGACACCACCACTAAGAAAGTTTCTCAGTCACTTGCTGTATTTCTTATGATAAGAGCATTTGCAAGAGATCCTCCTTTTAACATAACCACACCATATTTAACTTCATGTATCATCTCATTATAAGCCAGCGTGGTCACTGAGTGACCTCAGGCAAGTCACACTCAGTCTCAGAGAAAACCAAAGGTAATCCCCTCTAAATGAATCTTGCCAAGAAAACTCTATGATAGGTTCTCCTTAGGGTTGCCAAATAAAGAACAACAACATCATCTCATGTGTGGATAATTATTATCTGAGTGGGCAAATGTTAGCAGACCAAGCTCTCTGCCAAGGAGCTGTCCGGAGTTCTGCAAGTCTTAACTCTAACAAGTTCTCTCACTTGCGTCTTCTTTGTGTGTGTGTGTGTGTTACTTCTGCCACCTTAACCTACCTCTGGTTATTAGTGACTATTCCTTACCAGTTTGTTTCCAGTGATTGACCCCATCTATTCCCTGGGGGTTTGTCCTTGTCAATTAACTTCAATCAGCAAAGTAACAATACCCACAGAGCATATTCTCATCTTGCAACATCCTTCAAATTTTATTTTTGTAATCCTCATGGCTTGATCACACAGCAAGGTTTCCCCCAATTCTATATACTAACAGCAAAAAATATTATTCATACACAAGAGGGAGGCATTAATTAGCAGAAATTGAAAAACAAAAACAAAACCATGTCGACAGAGCCCTTTAGGAGTGAGTCCTCCCTACAATCTGGAATGAACTGAACATGTTTACTGAACACAGAATGTTTACTGACTACAGGGAGTATTGAGAAAAGGGAAGATGAAGTGTTCTCAACAGAGAACTTTAATTTATGGGATGGCAAACCAATGTTGCAAATAAAGAAATGTTTCCAGTGCTACTTTTTGAGATCAGTACTAATTCTGGAAAATCCAGCGTTCAAAAGGACAGGACTTAATTATTGTGATCCATATATTAAGGAAATTCAAGCAGAACAAAGGTTCTTATATAGGAGGAAAATAAAGGTTAACGTACTTGGCATGAGTTGCAATAATTGTTTCCAAACAAGTTGACTAGATTACCAACAGCACCGTCTGCTTGCTATTGTAGATTGCACAAAGATGAATTACTGCCTGAAAACTTTAAGAGAAAATACAGTGGCCAGGTGCAAAGGGGACAAACTCCTGCATTTGTAATAGAGGTGTACATGAGGGATTGTTTACAGATGTCATTTACATAAACAACTATTAAATGTGAAATAATCCCACTTTCTTTTACACATAACCACTCTGGGAATAAGCCTGGGCAAGTATTCATTTAAGGATAAAAGTGGAAAAAATAGAGAAGGCAAGGAAAGCACGATGGAAGCAGACACTTAAGACAAACAAGTGCTTGGGGACAAACAAAGCTGACATCAAGAAGATGTATATGCCAAAAAGACAAATAAACTATAATGTGGTCAATATCATTTTCTTGACTACTGGAGTGTACTAGCATCAGGATTTAGAGCAGATAGCATAATAAGAGTCTAAACAATTATACATATTCACAGTAATCAAGACAGGCAAATTCTGACACATGTACCCTAAGATTCAAAATTGGGACTTTAAATGGGTAAATTTGAACAGATTTGTCACTGATTTGTCTTTTATCTGCTACCACTGAGTGAACTAATTTAAACATTAATTAATACTTTCTGTGCTGTTTTACACCTTGACTCTACTTTTGAGAATTTTTTCCTGATTCTTTTATATCCTTGTTTTACTTAAGTGCTTCCCTCCCTCACACACACACACACACAGAGAAAGAGAGAGAGAGTAACCTCAACTTAAAAGTGTTCCAACTTAAGAACATTTTGAGTTAAGAGCTATCATTCAGCACAGGTTTTGCTTTGACATAAGAGCGTTGCGTTCGAGGCTAGTACCAGAGGGAGTGCTAGTGTTAGAGTACAGGGCTTTAGGGCTTCAAGGGCTAGCCTCCGTACCTTGTGCTCTTGTCTCTTTGGGAGATTGCTGTCTGCTTTGCTCATGTTTGCTTTGGGAGATGGCTGTCTGCTTTGCTGTTGTCTACTTTGAGAAAATTTGGGTTAGTTCATTTTGTGTGGTTTTTATTCCTGGTATGTTTGGCTTCATGAAGAGAGAGAGGGAGGGAGAGCAAGAGAGGCAGGGGAGGGAGGCTGGAATGAGTGAACTATGAAAAAAATGATGCCTCTGACTCTTTGTGCTTCTTTGCCACAACTTTGGTGGTGTGATGTTATTCTTCATATTTATTTTTTCTGCTTTTCTGCAGGTCTTCCTTTGGCTCTCTAAATAGTCTATTATAAGCAAATGCAACCCTTCCTTTTTAGGAAGTCTTTTGGATCAAAAATTGCTGTTTGTGTGGGATTCATTTTTGTTGGATTCATGAATACAATG